ATGAGATAAGATGAGATCAGAAAAAATGATTTTTTCGCAGCGTCGAAAATTGGTCGCACACAATTTTGCTTTTTTTGAAAACAAAAAGTACAGAATTAAAATAAGATTTACTTTGTAAATTGTAGTTCTTTTCACGCTGCATCTCCTGGTATATTTTGTTTTTTTAAAACAACGTATTAAGTGATGCAAAAATGAAATGGAAAAAGGCCGTTTTTTTTTGTCCGAGGGAGACTATCCGTCACAACTTATTTTCCTATGTTATTTTGTGAAGTATGAAGTCTTAAAGCTGTCATTTAATATCCAGAATGAATTACAGTGTCAATATAAATAAATAAACGGAGCAATGAAATCAGATCAGTCCATTGTTTCATTGGTGAACATGAGTTCTTGGTATAGATGGGATAAGGATAAAGACTGGTTGCATGTGAAACCTTCTGACTGAAAGACGTCTAGAAAGTGTTGGACGGAAATTTTTCGACTAGAAAAAATTTCTACTGGTTTTCATGAAACTTACTTGACTATGAAATCTTATAAAGGTTCTGTAAAGTCTCGGTATGCCTGAAAAGATTTCGTAAAAGAACACGAAGCCTCAAAAGTTCGGTAATGTATCTTGTTTTTTTTCAGTGTAGTTCCCTCGATTAATGGCTATAGTGGAGACAGGTGCCCGTCACTATGCATTTATACATGTCGCTGAAGAGTTTGCCAATTCGATTGATTACAATCGCAAATGGGTACCGACAAAATATGGTGCATTCGTGTAATTTTGTACGAGAACACATCCTCAAATGATCGAGATTCCTTTTACGATTGATCACCTGATATTCTGGAAATGCCAGCTTTAGATGGACATAATTCGAGCGTGTCCATTATCGATTTCACAACGTGCGATTAAAGCTTCTACTATTGCAGAACAATCTCAGAGGATGGGTGTGGGTGTAGATCGACTTGTAAACTGGTCACATCACATCCCATCTATGATCGAGACCAGCGTTAGAGAATAAGAGAAATGTCTGACACATATTGTTTATTATGAATTTAGTAAGAATATTCCATAAATCTATTCTGTACTCTCGTACGTCTGTATTTCAGATGGGAAAAAGTGATCTATTGGCAGCTCTAGTTGATATCGATATCTTTTGAACACATATTTTCACTCACACTCACATTCATCTTCAAAATAATCATTTAGGTACAATATAATATCTAAATTCCATTCTTCATTTTTCTACATGTAGATGATCAAGAGAAAGTCAAAATCTCAACAATGCCAAAGAAAAATTTTATGATGTTTGATACAACAATAAGAATAGTATGAAAAACTTCTTAATCTTTAATTTGTAATTTATCGTTTCATTAGGGTTCAGAATTAACAAAATACATAATTGTATGAAATTCTAAGAGAATATTGATGAAAAAAGAAAGATCAAATGCCCCCCCCCCCCCCCTCCTCACAGACCATAACAGATGACTATGTGACAAGTCACACGCCGTTATAGACGGTTTCCAGAGACCATCAGTGATTGTGGCAGATGGGCTCCAGACTCACCACAGACCATGATCTATTTTTTGATACACAATTAGTGATCATATGTCACAAGCATCTCACGAGAATATATAAACCTTTTTTTTATTGCAGTTCTAGAAGCTTAAGTAAATATGGTAGAAAGTGAATCCTACCGTCGATCATTGAAAACAATATTTTCTTGATTAATAACAACAGCTATATTGTGTTTCACATTTTAATTCTGCAGGGACTGTGTTAACAGCCTTTTTTTTTTATTGCAATGCTTTCTAACATATCATATACATTTAATATGTAAAAATGAACAACGTAAGAAAATTATATCAATGTACACAAAGAAGACAATGCGTAACAATTCGACGCATTTCATAAGATCCTTAACATATTTTACAAAAATAATTTACAAGTTTTTTTTGTATGTAATAAGATATTCTGGTAAGATATGTCGATTAGAATAAACAACATAAATGCCCGATCTGCCTGTTGTTGAATCATAATTTGACGGGCATGTTGTCATTGTCGGATCACCTTTACAACTTCGACCAACCAATACACGACACATAAGTATTCTTTTTTCACCTGTAGAAGGATTTGGCATAGCATATCGATCACTAAGATCTCGTCTTGTTGAAAAATAAAATCCCTGACCATAAGAAGCACCTAAAATAGCACTCAATCAAAGTCCAACTGGAATGTTTTTTTTTTTACTTTTTCTTACCATGTCTTCCGATGCGATTATGGTCAAATGCTTGTTGAAGAATCTGTTCAGCTGCTGCATATTGACAACCATGAAATAATAGTTTTTCCGTATCATTATGTCCAAGTCGAGCATCAACTATCCTTTTCTGATTCAGATACTGCATTAACCATACTGTATTTTCAATTCGATCAATACGAACAATCGATGATGCTTCTTCATTAAAGTCAACAGCAACTCTTCGAAATTCATTTGATTCTAACGATACTTGTGTCAAAGTACTTGCCGGTATTGACCAATTTTCCGTTTGAATACTTGTCAAACTTAAACCAGTTGTATCTGGCAAATGAAATTGATCACTAAATGTATCTCGAACTTGAATGAGATGACCAAATACTTCGCTGTCTGACATGATACCCTGAATAATACATTCAATTTTTATTTCACCTTGATTGAATATCAGACAGACGAGCAATGGATAAAGTTCAGTCGGTGATGAATGAATTACTGTTGCTATTTCTTCACCTACATGTGTTGCAAGTGTTGTCAAAAGTCTAGAAATACAACATAAATGTCTTGTATATTCTTTGCTCTAACTTACTCATAATAATTTTTTTGTGTTAAACTCCATGCCCATAAAACAAAATTTTCAGCAAGATAAGCATTTAATGATTCAGAACATAAAACAAGTGTATTAAAGATTTGTGTAGCTGGACTTTGATCATCATATATGTATAATGCTAATGGTCGAGGCTAGAAGAAAATCAGATGTATTACAACATTTTATTTTCATTCTAGATAAAAGAAAACATACATTTGTCAAATTATATAAAGAATTCATTAAAACTTGATCAAGTGAATCTTGACAGAATGCAGGTAACTTTGTCGTCATTTGACTAGCAAGACTATGACAAAATTGCTCTTGTTCGATTACTAAAAAAACTAGTCATTTTGTAAATGTGCTCAAATTAAAAATATCTCTCTTACTCTTACTATCAGGGCACGATGTAAAAACATTTTCGTTTGTAGTCACCTAAATTAACTTTGATTATTACAAAAGAAAATCAATTTGTAATAATGACTTACTGATATATTATTGATTTGTATAGTATCCATATTTTTTTTCTAATATATAGTCAAATTTTCTAAATAGTTTATTTACGATTTCTTGTATGCTTGTTTTAAACTTCAATGAAATTTATATAACAAGTTGGTAAAAGCATTTGAATTTTGAAATTCTTTTTGTTCCCACTGACTCATTATATGCTGACACATTATTATACAGAACGGATAAGAAATGAAAAGGTGTCGTTTGTTTTGGTGTACTGAAAAAAAAAAGCAAATGACATCATGTGGATTTCTTTCTCACACATTGTAAATGAAATGTATATACACGTGGAAAAGTTATTCTCTTCAATAATCATGATTTTAAATCTTCTACTATTGTAAAACAAATTAGTCCTATTAAGAGCAAACATATATTATGCATTCACATTATAGTTTCTGTTTCTACTCAATATTTCAGTACGGGATGCAGATGTTATTTTCTATTTTGAGGAGCCAAGTGAGCAAAGGATAGATAAAAAGACTAGTAATGTTTCTGGTCGTGTCGAGACGTCCTGTTTAGTCCGACACCATTTTTAGTCCATAAATCATGTCTTAACTACTTAATCGATGGCAATCATTCGGTTTGTTACGCCTAGTCTTTTTCTCAAAAACACTTGTCTTGTATACCGTCTTGACGGTCGTCTAAAAGCGATTTAAAATAAAAAAATGAGGTTGTGAGTGTAGATGTGGATCACTCTAACTGACGAGAATACTTACATCCTACACTCGTACCATTCTATGAAATATGTTTTGGATAAAATACATTCTAAAATCAATATCTTCATAAATGAATTCTTTCTGATTAGTGAGTGTCAGAAACCACTAGCTAGAAAAATATTTTACGCTAATTTGAAAAGTTCAATATCAGATGCAGTAAAATTTCAAATAAGAAATATTTTCCACGATGATTATAAATAGTTCGTATCGGTTAATAAGAAAAATATTTCTAACTTTTGTTGAAAGCTGTCGAATTTGAATGAAACAAAATTTACTCGTGTCAATGAATAAAAAAATTTGTTTTGTGCCGATTGAGAAATCGAACGACAAAATTCACTATAAATAAATATTAATGATAAAATGCAACAGTTAATCAACGAACTCATAATCGAAACTGCACTTGCTTATGTTTATGAATTAAATTGAATCAATCTTGAACAGCATTAATAGTCCGATTTGAATGGCTTTGTTCTCTCGAGAGAAACACCAGTATGATTTTTTTCTTCAGTATAACTGATTCATCGAATGTAATCGATACATATTAATATAGAAAATGTCGATGAGTACAGATTGATTCAATTCAATGGTTTACATTCGATTACCATCAAACGTCTTCTTTTTTCTATGACTTATCAAATATTTGCTATAGAGTTCAATCACTTCTTTAATCATTCGTTGAATTTAAAAGGTTAATGGAAAGCCATTGAAATAATTTAGTATAACATAAACAAATGCACAACATAGATATTTTGAAGCCACATATGGATCTAGTTCTGAGAGACGAGGAGATACACATTCACATCCTACTGATTTTGCTATACTTGGAGGAAATTTGCCTTATGATAACTTCTGAAAGTAGGTGAGAGAGATTTCTAAATCTATGCGCAATAATTTTATCAGCATTCCAACTTGTTTACTCAATTTGAATTACACAAACTATGTAGCAGCTATTTGTTTTGCATTTTGATGGTATAATCTGAAGAATGTGAGTAAAGTAGATGGGTATTCAACGAAGAGTTTGACTCATACTTTTTGTGTTCTGTGCTTACCGTTACACATAAATATCTAGGCGATTATTCTATTACTCGTTAGAATCGATATGTTAACCAGCGAGTGTATTGTACATTCTGGCGACAATCTATCTACATTTGACTGTGCCCGTGCTCAATTTCCGTCTGAGAAGGAATTTCATGCTGATATTGATCAACAAATGGAAAGTAATTTTTATTCCTGCCATAGACAAGAAGGTAAATATGATTGATATGTGTATATTTTCGTTAGCAATCGCACGAATGAGTGCATTTGGAATTTTCTTTTCTGACTAGTAATCTTTAAAATTCAGATTCATTTCCAGTTTAGATTTGATAGCAATGGATAATGATCAATTGCACAGAATGTGTCATGACATTATGTTATTACCGATTTCTGAAATGAATTTTCGTTTTTCAAAAGATCTGGAAGATTGCGTACAATTACAAAAGGCAAAGAGAACACATATGCCATCTAGATGTCCATTTAGTTTGATGAAAAGAATAAATTCAAGCAAGAAAAAAAATTTAAAAAGATGCAATCAGACAAGAAATAAGATATCAATGGAATGAATACCAATAAGACTTGTATTATCAAAATCCATAGAGTGTTAGAAGTGAAACAATGGGCGAATCTGAAGACAAAACACCACAAGAATGTATCTCCTCAAGTGAGTAATCATATTTTTGATTGAAATTCATGGACCGAGAGAAAAGTTCTAACTAACTGATTATCCGAAATAATGTAATATATGGATTCAAAATGCATATATATATATATACTTTTGTTTATTTCATTACATTGGCAAATAGATTTCTTATGAAGATTATATTCGAATAATCTAGTACTATGCCAAGGTGTTTTTCATTCAGATAAGTTGAGGAGAGAAAAAAAATGTGATCATTTTGATTGTTATAAAAATTTCAGCCACAAAGATACAACGATTATAATTAGTAAATTACATCGAAATCATATCGAAAGACAGTAATTGATCTGAATACCTATTTCAATTATAGTTTTAAAATTAGAATAGCTTACGTTCAGTGAGCGAAAGGCATGTGTTGTTTCACATGTTGAAGTAGAAGTAAGGAATAGAGATTGAAAAATCGCAGATAAATTGAAATTATCTACGAATTGTAGTTTTATTTAATACTGAGAAAAAACGCGGATAATAGAGATAAACTTGTGACCACAAGAAACCAGCGTTAGAATGAGAATATGTTTCTCAGGTGAATCATATAACATGAAGCATAAAATCGAAATAATTCGATATTCTATTCGATTAGAGTTTGTCGAAATCTGTTGTCATCTTCAACAAGACCTTATTTGAAATATTCCATGAATGTTACAGATACATTGTAAACGATAAAAGTCATATAAAACTTTCGAGTAATGTCTATTGTTTTCTTAAACAATGTATTCTCAGTGAAAAATCTCAATGAACGATGATCAGGTGGAGTTACCATTGTCAGTGAAAAAAAAAACTTAAGTCGCCATTATTAACGTTCTTAAAATCTTCGATTATCACTCAGTCAATGTCAATGAACAGCATATTTTTCTAAAAATCTTCATGAAAGGTTTTTCTTTATTTTTTTTCTTTTCAATGATATACAGAGGTTAACTCTAGATTTAAACACATCAAAGTTCGAATACTCAACGATTAATGTATTGTACACAGTCGTCGATATGTATCTAAATTTAATTGTGCTATCAATTTACTTCGCCGTACTGGTGAATTTCATACAAGTGTTTATTATCAATTAGCACAAAAATGTTGTTAGTGCAATGGAAAAACAGGTAAATATCATTGATAAACAGATTCCTTATTATATGTTACGATGGCGTATGAATTTATATTTTTCTCCATTGATCTACGGATCTTGCAAACGCTTAATTTTATTTTAGGCTTAAATATGATCGATCCAATTATACTAAAGAACATTTGTAATGAAATTCAAGTCGAACAATTTGATCGAAGGATGGTACAGAGATCTGTTTATATAATGATTTTGTCATTTCAACTGACGCTCAATGTTCAAGAACGTCTTAAACAGTCTGACCGTTTTATCGGTAAAAATGGTCAATATTTATGTACTTTCGAAGACAAATACAACATTTGTGTGAACATCATCAATAGATCTTGTAGTGCAGAACTTTGTCAAAAGCTTATCGCAATACAAAACAAGAGTTGTAAACATCTTGCAAACAACGTTGAAGGAATTTATTTGTTATTGAGAAGAAGAAATACATCCGTAAAAAATCTGATTTTTATTGAGATCAAGCAAATATTAACAAAGAAGTGGAACGAAATAAGTAAAGGTTTGCGAATCAAAAAACAATGTAGATTGAAGCGTACAAAATCAATAAAATCACAATTAATACCAACAACATGGTTTGAATTCAGTTGTGATGATCGATGGTATTCAAAAAGACTTGTTCATTCATAAAAAACTCTAATCAAAAAGAATGTTCAACTCAAATAAATGTGGCACCCTGTTCCCGAATTTTAGATTTGAAAAGATCGAAAGCTGTTCGAAAATTGGCGAGAGTTATTCGTCGCCGAGAAAACATAGCTTTCGGCATATTGGAATAAATCGTGCTATTTTTATCTATTTGTCCATAGCTTTGTAGGAAATGAATTAATTTTAAACATTTATTGTCATGATAAAATATTTGAATAAAAAAAAAAGATTTAAAGTATTGTGTAGGAGTTTGGAATTTTATCGAATATACTCTGTTGTAATATTTATTTAGTATTTCGAGAATTGCTATGAACAAATAAATATTAGATTAAATAAAAGATTTCTAAAAATTGATTTTGAGACAGAAAATTTCTGTTTGACAGGGTTTCATATTGAGAAAATCGATAATGTACAGTAGAATGGAGAGTGTCAATGTGTGGAGAAGAAGATTCACATTCACTCTTAAGTTGTCTGTAGATTGGAACTAACAGAGAAAGCAGAACTCAATTTATTTCTTCAGAGGCTAAGTCGTTCGATGTGCATCACGATCCATGATTCATGAACTTCAAAGTGATGATTCAAGCAATCGTGTTATTAAATTTTCTTCTTTTGAACGCATAGTGTCAACTATCGTCATAACTAATTCTATTTCAGCAGCGAGATCGAATTTGCTTGAGCCTATTCTAATCATTTTTGGCAAGAAGAAAGAAAGAAGGGTGTGGGGATTAGATGTAGATCTTCTTTTTACCTACACCCACACCTCGCATGCACACTCACTCGTACCCACAACCCTTCGATTTTCTCCTTCTTGGTTTTTCTAGAAAATATCTGATAAAATATGGGAAACTCAGAGAGATATAGGTCGTCGACAACAGTTAGTTTTTAATAAATATTAAAGAAGAAATCGAAAAATCTAGCCCCGTTAAGTTGTAGAGCTAATGCTTACCTTCTTTGTTATACTAAGCCGGCCTTTCTAGCGTTTAAAATAACAGAGAAATCTGTGATGCATGGAAACGTTAAAATAAAAAATCCTACTAGAAGAAAAACGCAAAATAAGTGTCAATGCTATAATTTGATACATTTTCTTCCATAAACTGGTATTGATAGAATCTTCTAGTAATTTGTCATAGATTATCGATTAGAATGATTTAAACGAACACATTGTAAAGATGTTCATTACTGCCAGAAATCAATAGAGAAGTTTGAAAAACCTTTAAAAACCAAATCTTTTAGGAAAAAGAATGCTATTGTTTTTTTCTGTGTGAAGCTCCGAAACAACCTATATAATATCCTTAAATTTCATCATAAAATCAATAAACTATAGTGCATTCGAGAGTAGAAATCACAAAATTGATCGATTTGACTAAAATTGAATTTTTTTTGGAGGTCTTAATTGATATAAATCGTGTTTGCTGATATTATGTGTACATGTGAAGGATCTTATTCTAAGAGAATACCTAAATGGATTTCAGCAGATATAGTTTTCTTCGATAGATATAAATATTTTCGCTCATAATTAAGAAAAAAATAATTTCTATACAACTCGTATAACCCGTAAGAGTCGTTCTCACACCGCACAGGAGTTTTTGCTTTAATTCTAAGAATAATTAGATCTATCCATTGACAAAATTGCCGATCAAAATACTTGAGTTCAATTTTTCGAGAAAACAGCCAAAATACAGCAAAAAATATTTTAATTTTTGTCGAAAAGGGCGTAGATAGATATCGTTTAAGAGCTTCTTAGTCTCATTCATTTCATGTGATTTCTCTCTACACGAATGAACGAATATATTCATATCTATTGAAAGAGATTACATTAACCCCAGTCCTCTTCGGCTTTCTCCTAGAATAAGGTTTCTCATATGCTGCACTCAACAAATTGGCGAAAACGGTGTGCATAAGATGGAGACCCTTTCCGATCAACAAAAAAATTTCAGGTTAACATTCAAACACCCAACTTTCTATAAATACTGCGTTATGGTTTAAAAGGTATTCCGCGATGCACGCAATTAATTATTTCTGTAGCAAATATATATATATTTGTTGCAAAAACTTTATCAGAATCTTATTCTATTCAGAGAAAGAAGAAATCACTAGGTAGTTGTGATGTCAATTTATACCTAAAAAGTTTTCTAATGGTCAGTTATATTTGATGTTTTATATGAGAATTTCTGTTTGCATACCCTCTTGTTGTTATTAAAAATGGTGTGACTGACAGATATATTGTTTTTTCTGAACATCACGATTTCACATTTATATTTCATAAATTCAAATAAATATAAGTCTTTGCAGTTCTATTCGTCAAATAATTTCGATGTTTCATTTGCACATAAGAAAGTTAAAAAATTTATCAACTTGACTAATTTCGATTATCGAATAAATCTTAAATAATATTTTAGGAATATATGGTTAATTATTTTTAATTCAAGTTCTGCATCGAAAAAGTAAAGCAAAATGCCAAACGAAAGTAACCATGGCTTTTATTAAATTGTATGCAGATTTATATACTTTCCAGTCGATATCGCTAGCTTATTTAGATCGAACAGAGTAGCACGGTAGGGACTTGGACTATATTGAATTGTTTTCTTTATTTTTCCGTCGTTTGTAATCTGAAGCAGGTATCCAGTCTCATAATCAATAATGAGCCATTCATTACACGTCAGTGAACAACAGCGAAATAGTATATCATGAGAACACATAATATCAAGTTGAAGTCTCCAGATAAGATCAAGTGTCTTTCCATATCTCAGTTCAATGCGCAGCGATTTTTTGGAATCATTCATAACTATTAGAGCAAGATTCCCATTATTGTAAGCCATCCCATCGATATTTTCATCTTTCCGACATGTAAGAGGATATTTCCATTCTCTAATTAATTCGATTGCTGGAAATAATGTGAATTCCATAATAGATGAAGCACCTTCATTTGTGCTTGCAAAGAGAACTGTATCAGAATATGTACACGATCCCCAGTCTCGTTCTTCAATTGTATGCACATTATCAATTGACATTGTATGTTCGTTTATGAGAAAGATATCACTTTTCCCAAGCACAATAAATCGATCTAATGTTGATGACCAACACATGTCCTGAATTATACCGTAAGACCATAACGTTTGTTTGGCTATGTTCAACTCTCGATCAATGAGACATAAATTAGGCCGTTGATATATCAATAAGTATCGATCACTGCAGGTTAGTGATACACAACTTCCCTCTGGGCGATGAATTGTTTTATAGACAGACGACAGAGTTGATATGTCAAGCTCTTTTTCAGTCGTGTTTTTAATTAAAATGAACGTGTCATCTATCCGTAATGGACGAGTATTGATAATAAAACATGTTTGTTCAATGTCGTTCATATTTCTTTTCAGCTGATGAATAGTCGCTGTCAATGAATCGATATCTTGACGAGTTGTTTCTTGTGAATTGATGAGTTCACTTATCTTAGAATTTATGCAGTTGAATTCTCTTCGTTGTTGGTCAATTTTGTCGTTAATAAGTTGATCAAGTTCTTGACATTTTTGTTCAAATAAACAATCAATCTTCTTATAACAATCTTGGCGCCATTGTTCAAGTTTTTGTCGACTATTGCCAATGGTTTTTTGAATATTTAATGTTTTGAGACGATCTCCAAGTGCATTAGTTTCATCGGTCAAAGGATTCAGTTGAGAAATGAGTGAAGCATTATGTTCATTTAAATGTTGTAAACAAAGATTTTGTTGACAACAATCACAGAGTCCACGTGATTTTCGTATGCATTTCTCGATCGAACATGATTGAGACATTTGACATAAATAATAAAATTTTAATGTTCTAGATATAGTTGTCGTAGGAAGAGAAAATGAAATCTCATGTTATTTGTCAAGAAGAAAGTGTTTGTTTGTTGAAGAAACGAAAAAATGGTCGCTTTTGTAGTCGTACGAGGAAAGCTGTTTTTTTTTTAGTTTTAAATTTAATAAACAGATGTCGTAAGAATAGTTCAGCTGAAGATGATTATTTGTCAAAACATAGAATATTCATTTTTTCTGAACATAAAACAAAAAGGAAATAAATCTGTTTTTATTTTGTATAACTTCGTGGACTATGGGTATATGTCATATCGAAGTTACAACTTCGATTGAAAAAAATTGTCAAGATTACTTCAAGTCAACTAAATATCACATAAATATTAATTCACTGATGATACTGGAAATAAAAATGATAATTATATTATTATAGCATCTCTCACAGTATGTTTTATTGTTCTAATAAGCATTCAGCTTGATCTTAAATGTTGTATTTTTCTTATTAATATGAACTTGAAGGGTGGTCGAAATCAGAGCATAGTATTCTAGAGATCTCTTATCATTAATTACATAAGTTCAAACGTGGTCTCCGGTTGCAATGAAATTTTTTTCGAATTTGTAGATATTTTTATCCTAAGTATTTTGATTGAAAACATCTTTTTAACAGTTTCTATTTTGACGGAGATAAAGTCAAAGTACTTTAAGCAATAAAAAATAAGCAATTCCTCACAAAAACGGCTGTTTTCGCATGATTTTTCAAATAATTATGGACAGATTACTTCTCTAAAAAAAAGAGTCAGAAAGTAGATCCAACACCATACTCAGATTCCTCATGAGACGACGTATTAAATTATACTAAGCTTGATTTCAGTTTCGACGAAAATTTCAAGTTTATATGTCTTGACTGCTATCTTGGACTTCCGATAATAACTTACAAAAACGTTGAAGTCCACTTTACTATAGTTCGCGATGCGCCGTCTCACATGGAGTGAACATGGTCTACAAATTCTGAAAGTTTCATACGTTTTATTAAATACTCGACGTTAATGTGGTAAAGATTCCATAAAATAGCATAAAAGTATGAAACTTAAATTTTCACAATTAATTTGATACGCTTGTTTTGATAACGATTGACAAATTATCTAAAGTCAATCTAACAATTTAAGTCTTATATCGCCTCAAGGGTAAATGTTTTTTTAAACTAGGTTGTTACAATAATCGACTGTCATGGACACATAAATTATGACGTTTTTTATCCTTATTGGACTATATAACCACATTAAATAGATCATAATAACTTACTAATAGACATTTATGGAATGATTCACAAACTATTTTCTGGATAGCAGATACGCAGTGCTCAAAAATCGATATGGACTAACTTTACTATAGTACATTCAAATGCACTAAAAATTTGGTTTTGTCAGTTTCAGATAATAGTCTTCCTAATACACATAAAAATTCAAAAATTTGAATTTTGACCTAGACCTTTTCTTTACTCCAAAAAAAGTATTCTATTTATATCTTAAAAATTTCTAATCCTATTTAAATTATATCATTTTCAAATAATTTAATATTATATATAAACTTAAATATTTTATTTTAATTTTAATCATGAAGAACAACCACATTCAACAACACGCATATTTTCATGTCTCTTTAAAACTAAATTCGGTCCATCATAATATAAAAGAATTGTTGATGAAAAACGTTTTGGTCGACAACATGGTGCTGGAATTTTATTTGGATATTTTTGATTAAGTAAATTTTGAACAATAAAATAAGTACCCATATTTGATTGTGTATGACATGTACCAGAACATATATTCATTTCATATGAACTTGGTTCAAGAATCCATGATGACCAATTCAAATCAGAAAATGATGTACGTAATGGACGAACTTGACAATAAGATGGATCATCAGGATATGTTATTAATTGATTATCATAAAATGAAGATAAATCTCGACGAGAAATCGAATGAAATGATCGTCGAAAATATAATGTTAAAAAACCTGATGAAAGCAAAGAAAGTTTTTGTTTTACATGAATAAATTTAAGATGAAATTTTAATGGAAATAATGTTATATATTGTGTTAAATTTATTTTTAACCAATATTTATCTTTTTCAAAAAAAGTAGTTTGATTCAATGATATATTAAATGTTGGAAAGAATATTTGTATTGTAGATATATGATGAATAGGTAAAATAAATTCTGCATATGTTAGATATTCAAGTGTTTCATTATATTCAAAATGATAATTAATATTTGTTGATGAATATTGATATTGATTTGGTAAACTAATAATAAAATCTATATCATCTGATAAATATAAATTTGAATATTGATTTTCTTGACGTTTTTTTCTTTGAATACCTATTTCATCATAAATTTGTCTATAGATTAAACGCATAAATTTATTCATGATTATTGATGAACGAGATAGATTTGGATTAGGACGATTTGATGATAGTTTGAGAAATTCTTTAAATAAAGATAATCGTTCGATTTCTTCAGGAGATAAAGTCGTTGTTGTCGTTGTGGAAGCTTAAAAGAATAAAACATATTCAATCTTAAAGAACAATCGACAGAATTATAACTCGAAACTACTAGAACTTTTATTTGTCTACAGTCACAAAACTGAAGCTGAGTACATAGATACGATTTTTCCAAATCTATCACTGTTTCTAAAGAATACTGTCCTAATGATAATTGAAGTATCCTCTATCGAATGAGCTTTTTTTTCGAAAAATTCCACCAGTTACATAAGATAGAAAAATAAAATTGAATATAGAAAAGTGACTTATTAGTTCTGCGACATCCGTTACAGTATTGGTCAAAAAGTATAATACCAACATATTTTATTTTTGATTTTTTTTCTACGATATCAAGCATTTAACTAAAATTCAAATAATGGTTTGAATATTAAAGAACACAAAATCTTGAATAAAATGAGACAATCGCTTATTTTGTGCTCTTAAAGGATATGAACGTGGGTATTTATTTGAAATCAAATACATACTAGTTGTTGAAATTGTTGATTGTTTAGAAATTGTTTTAAGAGATTGTATAAGAACAGTTTGTGATGATGATGATAAATATCGATATTTAATAGTTGTCAAAAGAAATATAGCAATAAAAATAATTAAACAAATAATTGTAATTAATGTTATAATTACAAAAAAATTTGATTTTGATGAAGATACTATTGTTGTTGTTGTTTGTTCTTTATGTTCCATCATATTTTTAAAATGAATTCATAACTTTCATTTTTGTCTCTCTCTTTCTCTCTCTCGCTTGATATATATATTTTTTTGCAATATCCAATAGAATACATTAATTGCATGATATATTATTGCATCGTTCAACGAATAGAATAAAACATAGAACGTACAAACATTCTTTCTAATCATGAGTATAATTGTTCAAGTGGCCGTAAGCAATCGAATAAAAAGATATATATGTATACATGTTTTTCTTATTGCTAGAAAGCAGCTAATTCTTCTGAGACAAATTATGTAATTGTACCGTGAGAAACGAACGACAAGAAAAGAGAAAAAGATACATATTTTTTGTGTTTTATTTGAATTAATCCATAAGTTTGCATTCTATTTAAATGGACAAGACATTAACAATTCACTTTAAATTGATAGCTATGATCAAGAGTATCTTCTTAAGATGACAAATAGATTGAAATTTGAATCGAAATATAAAATATATTCTTTGTTTTAATAAAGAAAGAGATGTGAAACAAAAAACAAAATCAATTGTGTGAATATTATTCTTTAGTTCATCAAGTTAAAAGCAATACAAATGACGCTATTGAATTGACTTAAACATTGTACAATATAGATCGATGCCGACATAATAAAAAAAAAATACATTCTCATACACTTGCTGGTTTTGCCTTTCTTTTTGTCTAATCTTTTTCTTTTTCTTAATCAATAGCTCACTTAAAATAATAAAATATAGACGCCAAAAAATCAACATAGAAGATTATTTCTCTTCACTTGTCCAAAGAGACAACAAATTGATTGTCTGTTTAAGAGGAAAAAAAACTCCATAAATGAATTCGATGGATGAAAATCGAAAAAAAAACCAAGATATTGGCAGTTATAATGGTATCATTTACACTTATCTTTTTAGTACATTAGAACAATTGGTTTTTAAACTATATTTTCGTAATGATTCACTGTTAAAAAATGACGTCTGCATCATCAGTGTAGTTTCATAGTCTATCAAAATAAATTTTAAAAAAATGATGGTACTTATAACTGTGGTTCACACTTCTGACGAGAGAAGATCTATATAGTAATCAAGAATTGGCAAAACATGTTTCAAAAAAATGATGCATATACTTCCAGATATTTCTTTTATATCACGGGTGGTGTGATGATGTCAAAACTTCGGAGTCAAACTTTACATTTTTGAGTTTTAGTAAAAAAAAAAAAAGACTATTATGTTTAGAGCACGGTCACTTCTACGTACTTGGTTTTGATCTAATGAAAAATTGGTTGTTATTGAAAACAAACATGGTTTTACAAAACAAGCAACATGCAAAAAGACATTGGCAACTCAATCTTTCATTAGAAAAGACTTCCAATCAAAATACGGGCTGTATCAGACCATAAATCTGTTAATTCTTAAATTTTTTTAAATTCATACATCATTCGATACAGAAATTAATGCTGAGTCATTTGGTAGTAATTTCAAATCGATTTGATAATATCTAAAAGTAATAAGAATCTAAAATATGACCTTCATCTTGTTAAAATCGATGTTGAAATCACGAGGTATCTTTCGGATTACTTTCCACTGTCATGACATTTTCATATTAGATTGATCTTATCAGATAGAATATTCAATTCTGCATCAATTCCTATAAGACCAAGTGAATTGAAAGGAAAAAAACTTATTGGTGTTTTGAGCCAACGCTGCGGATAACCACGAACAATTTTTTCGATAGAAAAAGTTCATGAAAATGTTTGCAATACAGA